CATTTGGAGATGGAGTGACTGACATTAATTATTATTATACAGAATGATAGACATTGCTTGTAACACGAATATGCCTTTACCCAGTAGTTGATTGAAAATGGCTACTGCTGCTGCTGCTGATGACGTAAACTGTATATATTGCCAAGGCCAAGGACAATGCAAGATACAGTATTTAGACTTGGCAATGAAACAAGCTATCTTTGTCTTTTTTGTCAGTTTATTGCCATTGTTTTTTTTTGGCGTGAATCGCTTGAAAATCTCACACAGCAGTATGCCACGTTTGTCAGATATCTTTAACGTGACTTCTGATATGGGGCGCCACGGTGGCGAGATGTTAACTACCTCACTTGGTATTCAGGAGTTCGTGGGTTCGATCAGAACCCTGATGCCTATACATTTGGAGTTTGCATGTTCTCCCTGCGTTCGTGTGGATTTTTCTCTGGGTCTTCCAGTTTTTTTCCTCCACATTTAGAAACATGCGTTTCGAGCAGTGGTTCTTAACCTTTACTGCATGCTTGCAGTAAAAAAATATTTTATTATTTTATTGTTTTCCTTCAACGTGACTTTACTGAAAGAACCAAGAATATGAATCACTGCAGTCACGAAAGCCTAAAATCAAAATACAACTACTTTGTTTCATAAAACCTATATATTTATTCAACATTGTACATTTTTTTACGATTGAGAACCAAAGGGGTGCAAGCATACAGTAAAGGTTAAGAGCCACTGCTCGAAAAATATATATTTTTAATATTTTATTGTTGCCCTTCAACGTGACTTTACCGAAATAACCAAGAATATAATGTAGTTGTACTTACGTGCCCGTGCTTAATTTGTGTTTCGATTATGTATCTTATATAAAAAAAAAATCTGGCATGTCTCGCACCCCCAGAAAGGACATCTCTTACCCCCAGGTGGTGCGTGCACCCCAGGTTAAGAACCACACGCTGCCAATGCATTGTTCCATGTCAGTAAAACTAATATTTTTCATTCTCGGAGCTGGAATTTAGCCAAATAAAGTGCAACATTTAAATGATGGGGGTTTTTAGTACTGTCGTTCGTGAGCAGGCTGAGACCGTAAACATGTTACACTTGAGAACTCAATTTAATCACCGGTGGCTGCCCGGATTCAATCCCAGGATGTCAGCGGTGCCAGCCCAGCCTTCTGACCTCTGAGCCACCTGGCCCATCGGCTGTAATATTCAGTATCTTAATGAAGCTGCAGAGAGAAGCCCTCACAAAGTTTGCGCAGAGTTGAGAAAATGCACAAGTTTAAGATGCGCTCATTAAAAACACCATTGGTTTGCTTGTAGATGCTGGCAGGCAGTGCTGCATTATGTCTTGCCAATGGGCTTGGCTCTGTAGCATAATTTTGCTGTATTTCCATCAGTCAAACTGAGGTGCTCTTGCCCAAGACCAAACGAAACTGATTTAATATCTGCGTACATATAAATATATATATAAATCAGTGCTCACAAACACTGAGTTGTATATCATCTGAACAAAATGTTCTGAACTGAAATTTCATGGTTGATAAAAACAATTTCACATTATTATCTAAGTTAAGATTTATAATGTGTTCATAGACAGTAACCTGGACTGTAACGATGCACATTATACCATTATATAACGGACACGATGATACCGGTCAAGCTGTCCAGCATTTTAGAATTGCATACGTGTATTGCTTTGCTTGTTTATATTGCATGCAAATGTAGTTTACTAATCATCAACTGCGATGGAACCAGGATAATGTCATGTGAAACAAACTATATTTTTGGCTTTTTTCCTGAATGAGAAAATAAGATGAAGATGCAGGGAGTGAGGGGGGTATCGGGAGACCCTACACTGATGGACGTGGCTTTTTGCACAATCAGCCTGAGACTGTGGTGTTTGATTAAAAAAAAACCTTTAATGTCGCTTCTTCTCCTCCATACCAACCACACTGTACTTCCATATTACCTTGCATCCTATACTTCCGAATGCTACACTATTAGTCTACACTCTTTAGCTTTAAAAAAACTGCTTATTGAATTCATTCAACTGATTTTCAGAGAGCATCTGCAGGGCACCCACATACAATCGTGTGGCTCATGTCACCAATTTTATTTCCAGCTTCCCACTTTCACAAGTGGCTAACCCTAGCCCCTTGACTAATCTCACATTGTATTGAACCATTTTCAGAATCTCCAGTGACTTCAATGCTTTTCATTTGGTTCACACAATCCTCCAAGGTTTCTAAACTATATCATACTATTTTCGACAATGCTTCCTCTAGATGTTAAATATATTAATGCGTTGGTAACAGTACTCGCAGTTAAGGACTATTAACATTAATAGCATTATTTGTTAAAATACTTTAAACGATGCATTCTTCCTTGAAAATAACATGTCTTTTCACGTAATGAAGATGCATTATTATTTGTATTTTTACAAGCAGACAATCTTAACTTAACTCTAATACTATTATAGTATGTTATATTGCAATGCACAAAAATACATGTTAACAGGATAAACAATTGATTGTAAAATGTGTTTGCGCTGTTATGAGCTGGCATTGTTTTTGCAATTTCATATAATTAACTACATTCGTACACTAATCGCTTGGCATGCATTAAGACACAATTGCAAATTTTGACAGATTCTTTGTAAATAAATGAAATGCTTGTTTTTGGTTATTTAATTAAACTCAATTATTGTTTTCTTATAAATCATTTAATCTCAATTGCATCAATACAACAATAAACTAAAATTCTAGAACCACCTTCGTTGTAAGTGGGATTTCTATATCGTGGGATTTATACATATTTATATACACTGTAGTGGGATTTATATACTATAGTGGGGCTTTACCTAATGAAAATATTCAAAAGATGGCATTGCACAAACACCTCTATGTATACAATCAAGCTTGCCATGATGTAATATTTAATGAAACCATAAAATATACACTTTAAAGATACAATGATAATTATCGAATAATCAATTTTCCAATAACTTTTTTACTGTATTTAGTCTATTTTGTCGTATTGTTTTTGTTATTTGCTGTACTTTCAGTTCGTATAAAGATTGCTTAAAAGTTCTTCAACTGCAATTCACTCAATATAATCCTGCCAAAAGTCTTATAACATTGTGTAACAAATTATTTTTTTGGTCCTGGGAAGTAAGTATTATTTCCTCATTGCTTATGCCTCCAAAGTACAGAAAATGACTATTATTCCCCACAAACTTTGCTTTTGTGACCAAGACATTGATATTCTTAAATTTACCTATTTTCAATGAGAAAACGGGCGAATTTTTGTCTTTTCTTTCACAGAAAGTCAGAAAAAATGAACATGTGAATCAAAATTAACATGTGTTTATACTAAAGTAATACAAAAATGACTACAAAAGATTTAGACACCAAGGCGCACTACCACAGGTGGGACTAGACACAGTGGACCGAGTTCTCTGTGGGGAGGAACAACGTCAAGTGAGAGCCACTGGTGGACCCCCGAAAGGTGCTGATGCCACCACTGCACATCAAATTGGGCCTTATGAAACAATTTGTCAGAGCTGTAGATGAGTCGGTAGCCTTCAAATACCTTCAAGACTTCTTCCCTAAGCTGTCTGAGGCAAAGGTCAAAGCCGGTGTCTTCGTCGGACCACAGATAAAGAAGATTCTTCAGTGCAATGCATTCCCCAAGAAGCTCACTAGTAAGGAGAAAGCGGCTTGGAACAGCTTTGTCGCAATGGTTCTTTGCTTCCTGGGAAATCACAAGGTTGAAAACTATGTGGAGCTGGTTGAGACTCTGGTGAAGAACTACAGCACAATGGGCTGTAGGATGTCCCTCAAAGTCCATATCCTTGATGCTCATCTTGATAAATTCTAGGAGAACATGGGAGCGTACTCGGAGGAGCAAGGCGAGCGCTTCCACCAGGATATAGTTGACTTTGAACGCCGCTACCAAGGACAGTATAACGAGAACATAATGGGAGACTACATTTGGGGGCTGATTTGTGAAAGTGATTTACAGTATAATCGTAAATCTCGAAAAACGATTCACTTCTAAATCTTTTGTAGTAATTTTTGAATTACTTTGGTATAAAGACATACTTATTTCGATTCATGTTTTTTATCTGACTTTATGTGAATGAAAGGACACAAATTCGCCAGTTTTCTCATTGAAAATAGGTAAATTTCAAAATATCACTGTCCTGGTCATAAAAGCAAAGTTTGTGGGAAATAATTAGCTATTTTATATACTTTTTAGGCATAAGCAATTACGAAATAACACTTACTACCCAGGAACGAAACTTGTGTTACATAGTGTAATCAATTAAGCTTTTACAACGTGTAAAGCATGTCCTGTCAGTTTAACAAGAGTTTAAATGAGGTACAGTTGTGATACAGGAAAACAAGCACACTTAATGGATAATAGATGCTGTTCGTTGATTTACAGCAGCACAGGCGGTGTCACGAGCTCTATTGGGGCAGCCATCCATCATACACACCTGCCGCAACTGGCTAGTCTCAGGCCATGTCTGTTCGTCACATGTTTCTTAACATCTCCTTGTGTTAGAATGTATTTGCCTTCATATGCTGCTCCACAGGAAGAGAAAAACCATAATCAACCCTTGATGAAGGGTTCCATGGGCTGTTGCATTTCGGGTTGCCACCTTCTGAGGTACAAAAAGACCAGAACATATCATGGTAATAACAATATCTCACAATACCAGAAAAGAGGAGAACTGCATGTAAATGCGTTGCCTTGAGAATTGTGTTATTATTATGATTACACAATTTACAAAACCAAGAGGTTTCATGTACAGGGAAGACTTATAGATTTCCCAGGACAGCTCCCTCAACAGGAAGACATCTTGGGAAAACCATGAAGTGGTAATCCGAGTTGAATCGTGTCTTCCATCCTGCAGTGTGATTGTATTATGTGGAAATGGGACCCTATAATGCCATTATTACTATAGCTACCTTAACCCCACCTCTTCCACTTGATTTCCAGGCAACGCTTGAGAAGCTGGAGACGGAGCTGAATGAGGTGAAGATCAACCACATGACCCTGAAGCGCAACTTCTTGGAGCTGACGGAACTGCGGCACGTGCTGGAGAACGCACAGCACTTTTTGACCGAGGTTCGTGCTCTCTGCTTCGTGGGAGCTGGTCTAGGTGACAGTTGGCACAGTGGGAATGACAGCATTGTGGGAAGTGAATGAGTTAGGGCATTGTGTTGTTCCTAAAATAGTAATAATAGTAGTAAATAATACTTCACAACCATTTGTCAATACAATTCAGGATGAAGACCGTCCGTACCATGAGAGTTTATTTTACCATACTTCACCACACTGGTTAGTGCGGTTGGGTGAATAGGGGATACCCCAGGACCGGTTCAGATATCACGATGGCACTGATGTTAGTCATGCCCATAAATTGAACTTCGGTGGCTGCGTATTATACCGTACTGTGCTCAGCACTGTGCCATTTCACCACTCCTCCTAGAATCGTACTTTCCACTATTAAAACAAATACTAAATAGACCTTAGTTGATATTAGAAAGGTGAGTTCAAGGATACATGTACCGTAATTCTTTGTTCATGTTAAATTAATGTTTTACAATGAATAGTATTATATGTTATCACGCCAGACTGCAGAGTGTAGAATGATGCCATTGAGAAAATGATAAACAACCCAACCATCTACAGGCTTGTTTTTAGGGAATCCATAAATAAATAAAGATCTAGGATAAAGTACCTCGTATTCTTGGTGCTAAAGGGCCATAGCGCTAGATTTCACAGTGACATTGGGAGCAATATCGTTGCATACTGCTGATGTTAAATGTGCTGCCGCTAATGTTTGGAGCTCGCTATCGAGCTTTTCATTACCATTGTGGACTTTATAAACTACAAGAGAATTGGAAAACAATAAACTCCGTGGCCAAGTGCGTGACTGTGCCAGGTCATTGCTTTTTTGTTCTTAGAGAATCAAGGCTGCACAAGAGCTTGCCCACCGCAATCAAATGCTATTCTATTCAGCATTTAAGAATATATGTTATTCATGCTCTTATTAAATAGTTGCACGTTAAACCTCAGAATTACTCAGTACTCATGGTCTAGGTGTAGGCTGGATCACATGCATTTGTTTTAAACATGTTGTGAGTGTGGAATGCATTCTCAGTGATGGAAATGTTGTTCCAAATTACTTATTTATGTCCGAAACTGCCCATTGTGTTTTATGTTAGCTTTAGATGTGATTTGGCATCCCAAAGCGATCACTGTTTAAACAAAATAAATTATTGTACAGCTTGAAATCGGTTTAAAAGAGTCAGATGATTCGACGGTCCTGTTTCACGATGAGGCGGGGCTCCTTTTGGCTTTGTACCACAACAAGACCCATAGCACTTTGTGATACATTTTGGTAATGCTGGTGTGGAGACGACCTTCAATTGATACAGGGGTGCAATTAAAAACCACAGATGCGGGGAATAAAATGCATAAGCAGACATCTGCTTCACATACCTATCCCTCTACTATACATAAATAATATAAGTAATTGTTATCCATCAAATCAGGCACGAGGCCCTCTGGGATTGCATAATTTCAGCAGCATTGGTTCAACAATGCAAGCTCTTGATCGATTTCGACATAAAAGTATCTCATTAAAGAGTCAGGTGTGTTTCAACTCATGTTGGTGAACTGCCAGATGTTATAGTAAAATAACCCATCTGTTAGATATTGGTCCTAATTTGTATTGTCTGCTTATTTGTTGTGTTAATTATATTCTCTACAAGGATGCGAATGATTATTCTGTGCGAGATATATGGATGCCATTTGCTGTGATTGAACATTCTAAACAAATGTGGTGGTGCAAAGGAAAGTCGTAAGACTTACTTGTGCAAGTACATTATCAGTCCTGTTAGTTTCTGTTTTATGCAGTCTTGTATTTAGAGAATTCCTTAGCCTGGAATTTTGGAATCCATTGCTGTGATGAAAGAATATATACAAGTGGGCTAGTATTTTGTCCCATTTTCATATAGTCAAAGGAATCGTTATTTTAATTATATTCATAGACAACCATAATGGGCAGAGTTAATGACTTAATTAATATTCCAAACCGTGCAAGGTTGACAACTACTGGATTGCCAATGCTTTGTTTTGCCTTCATGTAATTGTAAATCATGCAAACCACACTCCAGTCACATAATACGACATACTCTATTGTACTATACGTGTATCAGGGCATTGTGCTGCATGTTGCTAAAATTGAGCAATTTGTCTATTTTGATAACTATGCAAATTGGCGCATATTGAATAAATATGGCTGTAGTGGTGAAATGCATTTGGGCCCTTGGAATGCTATCACCTTGAAGGCAATTTACATGAGCTCCTCAAGGTTTGCACGGATATTCTATTTTCTCTTCTATGCGGATAGAACGTTCAAATTTCTGATCGGGCTTAATCCGTTCAATTATGCGAGTAAATAAATACAACTAAAATATGACTTCAAAAAATAGCAGAAATGTAAGGGTTTTTTTTCTCTGATTTATTAATTCAATAACAAACAGTATTTATGATAACTCTCTACCATTTATGCTCAACACGTTCTGCTATGTGCTGGAATGATGGTGACATTCGTGATGTAAAGGCAAAGAAAGATGAGGATGATACGATGATGATAATGAGGATGATCATGTGAACGGTGATGCTGATTATGATAATTGAAAATTAGATAATAAATCCATAATACAGGTTTTTTTGGGTTAGATCGCGTAAATATAAATGTCGTTAAACCCGCCACCACCCGACACAGCCAACTAGTAAGGGTTGTCACGTAAACAGAACGTGGCCAATTTGTTACTAGTACAGCACACCGGTATGTTGGACAGCAAATCCACAACATTTACAATATAAGTACGACGTTTTGCCAGTAATTACAACTAGCTTCATCAGGCGACAGCCAGATTTGTAGAGAAATCCTCCTGTTTCGTTCCTTAAATAGAGGGATAGATGTGATGACGTCACTTGTGAGCTCTTCTTGTGCAAGGGGGGGTGGGGGGGGGATTAATGAATGCATATAAATTACAATGGGGATACATTTCCGGTTGGGGTATTCATATGGTAATCAACGTACATTATGCATGCACATTGCTCTTGTACCTCCTGTCGTTTGCGTGCAATAAAATAGCAATACCTGTTATTCTCTGCGTACAGGTAAATGGATGCTGAGACTGCTGCTGATGTGAATCATGATGCTGATTATTATAGATGAAAAGTAGATAATAAATGGATGCTGCTGATGATAATGAAGATGATGCAATTGCTTACTGTCGTGGCTATTGTTGATATGGCTAGTGCTGCTGATGATAAATTAGAATTATAATATTTATTTATACTGGGGAAATTCCGATGAGTTATAAATCTCTTTTCACAGATGTCCAAGGCAGGTCAGAGCGTTACAATAACAATCAATACAAAACACAATAGGTGTCCTACGTATAGGAAAGGTAAACAAATCACTTAAAAGATACAAATAAAATGTAACAATTGTTTATCTTACCAGGTAAAGTCCACTGAGCTCTGAGCTTCTTTTTCAGAAGTGACCTGGCCACAAATGACAGCTCAACGAAATGACTTATCATTTAGAACTATATACCAACCAAATAATCTTAATGATCTAAACGCATGATGACAAAGATGAAGATGGTGCAGCAAATGTCGTGTTGCCAGGGAAACCATACTTAGTCCGAAGACTCCTTTTTAAGAGTTATTGGCATGTCGAAGGAATCTGGAGTACCCGGAGAAAACCCATTCTGAGAGGAGATAACACGAAAATGTCAATACAGATGAACTCGCGTATCTCTTCCTGCCACTGTCTAATTATATACGTATGTTGTGAACTTTTTCAAAGTAATGTATCACTGATGAATCTCACAAGAGCTACTACTCGCTGTTTATAAAGCCACATTGTTAACTTTCATCTTTTTGTTACAGTTTTAGAAAATGTAATGGGTGTTTTTGCGACTATGGAGCATCTTATAATTGTCCTGAGCAAACAGCCAAACCCTGTCAACCGAATATTTTCAGCTCAAACAGTAAGAGACAAAAGCCATGAACTGCGCACATGTGCCACAATCACTGAAACTACACTCAAAGGTCTCCCGACAATTTCTGAAACACTGGGGACATTTTTGAAGAAGAATACTGTGATTTTTTTTTATGGTTTCCAGGAAACGTTTGATTGCTTAGTGGCAAACAGAAACGCATCATTCGACATAAGGTAGCAATGGGTGGGTTACGTTTTCAGGATTGAGGTGGCGCAGGCCGCTGAGACAGACATATCCAGAGATCGATAATCAAAGGGAATAAATACTCAAAGCCAGAATGTGGTGATGTTACAGCAGTTCTGTATGGACTTGTATAGCAATGGCAAGACCCAGAAATGATTGTGTTATAACGAAGAGCAGAATCAAAAGAGGTCAGGGGTGGTGGCATCAACTGTATTGGCCATGATGTCCTCTTAACCTTGATTGGCCTCGGGTTATTTGAACATTCTCGTTAGGATTTGCCATTTAAACTGGTCGAGTATAGTAAATATAGTTTGATTATAAATTAAATTTGATCGATCATGAGTAATTGTATAAACAAAAGTTACCGTGACTACTTTGAGTACTCTAGTTATTTTTAGTAGTTCTAATGAGTCCCTCAAATATCCCTGTTTCCTTCCATCCCACACATTTTCACATGCGTTAAAGACACCTTTTGAAGTACTGACAGAATTGTAAATCTTCTTTTCGAGGTTCTATAGATTATGTAAATGTTTTATTCCATAAATGTGAGTTCAGTGTTGACATTTTCTTTCTCGTATGAGAGGAAAGCTATAAATGCCAAAACTTAACAGTCATGTGAGATGGTCGTACTTTTTTACCAAAACCTTACCACATTCAGTATTGGTTGTATGTATTAATGTATGCATTAGGGAACATAGAGCCAGTCAGTCTGTTGTATGTTATGCTGTCGTTATTGTTGTGTACAGTCTTATTATACTTAGAGGTATATTCTGGATTGTAATTGTTATTGCCGGAGGATGGTTATTTTTTTGAAAAGCATACAATGCAGCATTTGAGAATAGGTTTCCCCCC